ACAGTGTACCTGATAGTATTTTCTGTATCTATGATATTAAAATTCTGAGAAATAGTTATTTAATTCCTACAAATTATACTGGGTCAAAAGCAAGCAAGATATTGAGACATTGCTTTACCTTATACCCCTATGTTGAATAGCATATACAAGACCAGAAGACTTGAGTTGGTCAAATTAGGTATTGGAATAACCTTGAAGATATAATTAGTATTTCTTGACATACACATGAGTGTGCACACACACATACACACCCAGAAAAATGCATGCACAAAGGTACTTCAGAAAGTCAGTGAAAATGGAATTAAAAATAAGTTTATTTTGGTGCAAAAGATTTTGAAATCCACATAGTTGTTTTTCTTTTTCTTAATAATTATTTTTTATTTTGAAAGGCACATTTACAGAAAGAATGATAGAGAGTCATAGAGGAGGAGATCTTCCATCCACTGATTCACTCCCCAGTTGGCCACAATGGTCAAGGCTGGGCCAAGCTAAAATCATGAACCAGGAACTCCATCAGGGTCTCCCACTTGGGAGCAGGGGCACAAGCACTTGGGCCAACTTCTTTTGCTTTAACAAGCATGTTATTAGGAAGCTGAGGAAGTACAAAAACCAGGACTCAAACTGATGCTCTTACGAGATGCTGGCATGGCAGGTAGTAGTTCAACACACTGCACCAGAATGCCAGTCACCATGTACAGTTTTTTCTATTATGCATGCCCCATTTCAGACTTCAAGCTTCAAACTGGGACGTGGGCATCCTAGGACGGATGCCCAGATCTGCACTGTGTTTTCTTGATACATCTTTGAATTTTTTTGTACATATATGTGGTGGTAGATTGGTTGGGTTATTGATCAAAATTTATTCAGCTTTAGAAAATATCAGCTTTAGGAGATATTACCAGTTTTCCAAAATGTTTGCTTGAATTTCAACACAATAAAAGCTCTTAAATTAAAAAAAAAATATTGTTTGACAAGTATCCTTTATAGATAATATTTTGGACTGTTAAGTTGTCTTTCTTGGGTTGGGAATTTGACCTGGTAGTTAAGAAGCTGATTGGGACTCCTGCATTACATGTCAGAGTGTGTGAGTTCATGTGCAAGCTCTACTTCCAGTTTCAAATTCTTGCTAATGTAAATCATGGAAGCCAGCAGGTAATGGATCCAGTGATCGGGTTCCTGACATGACATAGAGTGTCTAGACTGAGTTGTCTACTGGATTCAGCTAGTGCATTCCCAGCTACTACAGGCATTTGAGGAGTGGAGCTATTGATTGAAACTCTGACAGTCTCCTTTTCTCTCTCTCTCTCTCTCTCTCAGACCCTAAGACCAAATAAACAATGTGTCTTTTTCTTTTTAAAAAGATTTATTTATTTGTTTGAAAGGCAGAATTACAGAAAGGCAGAGGCTGAGACAGAGAGAGATCTTCCATCTGCTGGTTCACATCCCAGATGGCCGCAATGGCTGGAGCTGTGCCGATCTGAAGCCAGGAGCCAGGTGCCTCCTCATGGTCTCCCACACGGGTGCAGAGGCCCAAGGACTTGGTCCATCTTCTATTGCTTTCCCAGGCCATAGCAGAGAGCTGGATTAGAAATGGAGAAGCTGGGACTCGAACCGGCACCCACATGGGATGCTGGCATTGCAGGCCATGGCTTTACCTACTATGCCACAGCGCCAGCACCAATAATGTTTTTTTGATAATTTTTTAACAAAACACTTGGTAAGTGATAGACACATTCAGGGTAATCTGGCCATCCCTGAAGACATACTCAACATCACTAATGATGGTAGGGATGTAAATGAAAACCAAAATGAAATACCACTTTATCTCAGATTGTATATTATCAGAAACAAAAGACAAGTGCTGGCAATGATTTGGAGAAAAAGGTATGCTGGTAAACTATTGAAGATAATGCAACTTTTACAGCTATTGTGGAAAACAGTGAGGCGATTTCTCAAAAAGCAAAAACAGAACTACTGTTTGGCCTCTTAGTGTGCTTCTTGGAACAGTAATTTGTGATCATTTTCATCTGAAGGCCTCTCAGCTCTATTTTAGATGGGTATAACAATAATGTAGGTTTTATATGTTCACATTCTATAAAACTAAAAATATGAGGATACATACAGAAGTAAAAATTAAGGTGCAAATGTCATTTATACATATATGATAAATAGGCAAATTCAATGTAATTCAGACATTAAAATTAGACAGTTTGATAAACATTGTTTAATGAAGAAAAAAAGCACTTCCACTTAATATGTAAGAATATTTTCTCATATATAGAGAAAAAGCAAACGTATCATTCTTCTACCAAACCTATTTTTTGGACATACAAACATCAATATAAAGTTCCCATATCTGAGTTTGTGTTTCACAGTAAATATGTTGAAATAGAATAAAGGAAATTTATTTTTAATGAGCATTGCAGTTTCAACTGTTTCTAGGTTTAATCAAACAATTATGATCAATTAGATAAGCATAGTGGTCTAGCACGTAGAATAAACATTAGAGGTAATAATATTATATTGTACAGTAGAAATTTACTAATAGAGTGAATTTAAGGTGACCTTATCAAAAATACAAGTCATAATGTGAGGTAGTAGAAATGTTACTTGATATAATGCCCCTATTATATGTATATCAAAATATGCTATACACGAGACAGAGTAAGATGGCAGCTGAGTAAGATGCTCCAAGCATCATCTCCCTAAAGAAAGACCCATTTGAATACCTAGTCATGAATGATAATCTCTTCATGAATCCTGACAAGACAAATAAAACAATACAGTGCTGGTTTTAATATAAATGTAAGAAAATGCATATTGAAAAAGGCAGGAAGGAAAGAATTGTTTGGCTCACACTGCCCAAAACTCCAAGTAGTATAGTGTAAAGATTGGCATCTTGCCTCCTGCTTTGAAGAGAGAGGGAAGTAAGCACAGACCAAAGACTTGAAACCTACTCCCAGGCCCACTACAGTCAAACCTAGAGCTGGACAAATCAAAGGCTTCAAATCCTGCTCTAGTCCTGCATTGGCGTATTGAGCCTTTGGACCCCACTAAGCCAGGTGGCCAAGGGCCAACTTCCAACCCTGTCTCCCCTCCCACAACCACTGCCGTGCAATGGAGAAAGACTATAGTGGTTATGATGTAGGGTAGGAGAGTCAGTATACAACTCTGCCTTGTACCCCATGTTTGGGCCTGCCACATTGAAATCTAGATCCACATAAAGCCAAATTGCCTCTGTCCCCAGGCTAGTCCTCATAGATGCAGGTCTAGACCTACTATGGATTCAAGGTAATCTTTACATGATAGGACATACTACTTTCACTGCCAGTCTCACAGGGCCTGGCATATATCATTGGTACTTAGTGACTATGAAACCCATCTACATCACAGCTTAGTATCCCCCTGAGTGACTCTGGGACTGTCTTACTCACTCTGGGAATGAGGAAATCTGGGGCAAATCATGAAGCAAAATTTCACCCACTGGGGAGAAGTGGTCTGGGGAGTACACTTAGGACTTTGTCTTGAGGCTCAGTACCTGGACTGCCACAGTGAGATCAGCACATCATAAAATTCCAAGCCTTCTTTCCTCAGGCTAGGACTAGCAGACACCACTGTAGATTTGTCCTTGAATCAGGTGGAGATGTGAATCTTAGTAGAATGTAGAACGGATTCATCTTGTATCACCCCCAACATTTTTCAGGTTTGGAGAACATCTGAAAGATAGTGTAGGGCCTTAGGGCTAAGGTGCAACTCAGCTTAGTGTCAACCTGTCAAGCAAAGGAACTGCCTTAACCACCCACCCTCCAATCATGAGCAGACAGCAAAGAGATAAGATTTCAGCCAATGGGAAATAAATCAACAAAGTGAACACAGGTCTCCATATTGGAAGTAGTAAAGCTGTCACTTCATAGATACTAATACTCCCTGTCTATAGGCCAATGACTGTGGTCTTTACTCTGGACTCTAAAATGGAGACTCATAACTCCAGTTAGCAAGTAGATTTACATCTTCACCAACATCATTTGGTGTGGTTAGTAGAGGCCTTGAACTGCAAGTACTTCTCAGAAGCAGGCTGTCTATGACAGAGTTGACCTTATCTCACATTGCACTGCTCTTGGGAGACCATGGATTCTGTGAGATTTAGCATTGAAGTGTAGATGACCAGAGGTGTACTCACTGAATTACTGACTCCAGTCTCAGGCATCAGAACATGTAGATAGCAAATGTCTGCCTGGGGGAAGAAAGGTCAATGGGATGCCAAGACATACTATAGCAACTGGGGACTAGCTCTGACTTTATTGGATTTAATTTGACCTCTGGCCATGTCCAGTCAATACAGAGACCTGAGGGACCCTTACAGGATTCCAGGAAGATATTACCATGACCAAATTCATTGAAGAATGTGGATAGGCATTCTTGTGAAGACTGATACCATCCCATGGACCACCAATGAAACCCACATATCTCTATTGGGATTGAGAAGAGTGCTCCACATCCCCATTGGCATCAATTACTATGGAAGAGGCTGCCATTGTGACTCAGTGGTTTAAACTGCTGCCTGCAATTCCAGCATACCATTTGAATGCTGGTTTGTGTCCTGGCTGCTCCACTTCTGATTCAGCTCCCTGCTAATGCATCTGGGAAAGCATTGGAAGATGGTCAAAATACCTGGGGTCCTATACCCACATGAGACACTGGGATGAAGCTCCTGGGCTCTGACCTTGGCCTAACCAATGCCTGGTCATTGCATTCATTTATGAGTGGACCAGAGGATAGAAAATCTCTCTCCCCTGCCCCCTCTCTTTCACTCACTCTCGCCCTCAATCTGTCCTTCCTTCTCTTTCTCTCAAATAAATAAACAAATCTTAAAATAAGAAGCCAATCTCAATCCCCACTTTTGTTATAAATACATATATAAACTTAAAAAACATTATTATGGAAGAAAATATATAGGAAGACTATGCTACAGCATCCAACTAGAAATAACATCAAAATGGTTATTTTTTTTTTTTTTACAAAGAATCAACTTTATTGGACACTCAGGCTTAGTTCCTCTTCTTGCCCTTGCCTGTGACCTTGGCGGGTGTGAGGACTGGAGCCGTTGCCTGGTAGAGCGTGGAGGAGATCTTTTTGATGTAGTACAGACAAACCATGGAGAAGATAAAGCAGGTGGTAAAACAGACTCGGTAGATGAGGCCTGATGCAAAGAGAGCCAACAGGAGGCACAGGAGAATCTCAGGGAAGACCTTGGCTTGGAATCTTTTGCCAAAGACAAGATTCTCGAGATTATTGAAGGCAGTGAGGGAGAAGACGAAGAGGCCGGAGCCAAGCAGGCCCCCCTGGATGGTGAGCCACTCGGTGGAGGCCAGCTGGCAGCTGTACATCTGCATGCCCGCGAAGAGCAGCAGGGACAGGAGGGATGAGAGTGCCAGCGAGGTGCCGGTACCATACCGACTTCATGAAATGTCTTGTCACTCCAAAAGCCACTGATTAAAAGTGATGAAAACAATACACCAGATGCACAAATATCAACATAGTGACACAAGAAATATGAAAGATCAAGGTAATTTCATGACCCAAAGAAATGTAGTAATGCATTAGAAGCAGACTCAAAAAAATAAGAGATGTTGAGATGAATGGGTGGGAGGGAAGTTATGGGGGGGGAAGCCATTGTAATCTATAAGCTGTACTTTGGAAATTTATATTCATTAAATAAAAGTTAAAAAAAGAAATAACTTAGAGAAAAAAATAAAGTTAATCAAAAAGGGAAAAAAAAGAATTCAAAAGGATGATTTTAAGGATAATCAAATAGTTTCAAGGGAACAGGAACAGGAGAATGAAATAAAAAATATTGCATGATAGAAATGAGAAATTTAAGAAAGAGATAAAGGTTTTGAAAAGGAACTAAATAGATGTGGATAATTAACCTAGCAATTATGATACCAATTAAATGTCCATGTACTATGTCAGAGTGCTTGCGTTCAATTCCCAGCTCTAGCTCCTGATTTCTACTTTCTGGCAGTATAGCTTCTGAAGGGCAGCAGGTAATGGTTTCATAATTTGGACATGTGCAACCCATGATTGGAGATATACACTGAATTCTCTGCTTCTAGCTTTGGTATAGCCCAGTCCTATCCACTGTGCGAATTTGTGGACTGAACCTGTGGATGGGGTTTCTCTCTCCCTCTCTCTCTCTCTCCCTCTCTCCCTCTCTCCCTCTCTCCCTCTCTCCCTCTCTCCCTCTCTCCCTCTCTCTCTCTTTCTATCTCTCTTTCTCTTCAATAAGTAAAAAGTATCACACAGAAATCTTAGACACAAATAACTCAATACATCAAATAAACATATAATCGAAAACATTAGGAGCAGACTAGAACAAACAGAAAAAGTAATATCTAAACTTGTAGCCATGTATTTTGAAATCCAGGACTCCAGGAAGCTATCATGACCCCAGCCACAACAGAGTGACATCTGGCATTCCCGTGACCCCAGACAAAAAGGAAAAGAAAAAAATATTCTAAAAAAAAAAAAAGCATGACACTTTCAAAGACATTTGGGACACCACTGAATGAAGAAATATTAGAGTAGTGGAAATTCTTGAGGGAAAAGAAAGGAGGCGTGGAAAATCTATTCAGAAAGATAATATCAAAAAAGTTTCCCTATGTAGAGAAAGATGAAGACATTCAAGTCTAGGAGGCCCAAAGGACCCCAAAAATACAAGGGCAGAAAAAGAAACTCACCATAAAGATTATAGTCAAAATTGCAAAAGTGTGACACCAAGAATTCTAAAACCTGTAAAAGTGTCAAGTCACACTTACAGAAGCAGAAATTTTACAGGCCAGAAGGGAATTAAACAACGTGTTCCAAGTTCTGAAAGGAAAAAAAAAAAAAAAAAAAAAAAAAAAAAAAAAAAAACAAAAACAAAAACAAAAAAAAAACAATAGTACAAAGTCAGAATATGTCATTCAATGAATACATCTTTCAAAAATGAAGAAAAACCAGACTTTCTAAGACAAGCAAGAACTGATGAATTCATACCTATCAGACCAACCTTACAAGAGATGCTTAAGGGAGTTCTATATACAGAAACAGCAGTATGGTAACTACTTTTCACACGAAAGCATGCAAAAGTAGAAAACACAGTACAAGAACAAAATATATTGGAAGTTAGCACAAGATTCTTTTAACTATAACAAGTCTAGTACCTGCTAATACTAACCGATAGAATAAATGAAGGGGAGAGTGATCCAACATGGGAAGCAAGATACTCAGCAGACTCATAGAATGGCGGATGTCCTAAACAGCACTCTGGCCTCAGATTCAGCCCTAAAGGCATTCGGATCTGGCTGAAAAGCCCATGAGAGTATTTCAGGCATGGAAAGCCAAGACACTCTGGCAAAAAAAAAAAAAAAAAAAAACAAAAAACCACCACCTAAATGAAAGATCTCTGTGAGTGAGATCCCAGTGGAAAGAACAGGTTTTCAAAGAAGGAGGTACCTTTCTCTGAAGGGAGGAGAGAACCTCCACTTTGACTATGACCTTGTCTAAACAAGATAAGAGTCGGAGAACTCAAGGGGCTTCCATAGCCTTGGAAACTCATGACTGGTGCATAGGGAGATTACTGATGCCATAAACAGGAGTGTCAATTTGTAAAGTCAACAACAGGAGTCACTGTGCACTTACTCCTCATGTAGGATCTCTGTCCTTAATGTGCTCTACATTGAGACTTAATGCTATAACGAGTACTCAAACAGTATATTTCACTTTGTGTTTCTATGGGGGTGCAAACTGTTGAAATCTTTACTTAATGAATACTAAACTGATCTTCTGTTAAAAAAAAAAAAAGAAGAAATTATCAATTCCCAACTTGACTCTCACTGGGATTAAACATGACAATAGGTCTGATCTGATTTCATCATCAGTTAAAAAATCATCTATTATTTTTCACTTTATGTTTCTGTGTGGGAGCAAACTGTTGAAATCTTTACTTAATGTATGCTAAACTGATTTTCTGTAGATAAAGAGAATCGAAAATGAATCTTGATGTGAATGGAAGGGGAGAGGGAGTGGGAGAGGGGAGGGTTGCGGGTGGGAGGGACGTTATGGGGGGGAAGCCATTGTAATCCATAAGCCGTACTTTGGAAATTTATATTCATTAAATCAAAGTTAAAAAAAAAAGAACAAAATCACTACTTATCAATTACCTTCAATGAAAATGAAAAGATACACAGTGTTTGAGTAAATATACAACCAAGATTCAATGATATGCTCTCAACAAGAAACTCACTTCACAAGTAATGGCATGGAAAGAATAAGGTTGGATAAAGACATTCCAGGCAAATAAAATCTAAAACTGATTAAAAGTAGCAATATCTTGGCCGGCGCCACGTGCAGCTCACTAGGCTAATCCTCCTCCCTACGGCGCCGGCACACCTGGTTCTAGTCCCGGTCGGGGCACCGGATTCTGTCCCAGTTGCCCCTCTTCCAGGCCAGCTCTCTGCTGTGGCCAGGGAGTGCAGTGGAGGATGGCCCAATTCCTTGGGCCCTGCACCCCATGGGAGGCCAGGATAAGTACCTGGCTCCTGCCATTGGATCAGCGCGGTGCGCCGGCCTCAGCGCGCTGGCTGCGGCAGCCACTGGAGGGTGAACCAACGGCAAAAGGAAGACCTTTCTCTCTGTCTCTCTCTCTCACTGTCCACTCTGCCTGTCCAAAAAAAAAAAAAAAAAGTAGCAATATCTTTGTTATACAACATAGATTTTAGGATAAACACTGAAAAAAAAGACAAACAGTGCAATTACATACTGATCGAGGAAGAAGTTCAGAAATTCAGAAAAAAAAGATGTAATTTTTTTTTAATTATACATACATCTAATGCAAAGACATTTAGTCTTATAAAACAAACATTAGTAGATCAAAAGAGAGAAGTAAGCTTCTACACAACAGTAGTTTGTGTCTTCCCATTCCAACTTTCATCAATTATGGATCATCTAGACAATGAATACATTTTGTAAAAATTTAAATTAAACTGAACTTTCAAAAAAGTACCTAATAATAATTTATAATACATAGCATCCAATAGTACAGAGTTACTTTTCTTTTTGTGGAACATTCTCTGGTTAGATGATATGAAAAGCCATAAAGTAAGCACTCAAAGTTTAAAAAAAAATGTCTTTTATGCCCACAATGGAATAAAACTAGAGGCAAAAAAAAAAAAAAAAAAAAAAAAAAAAACGTGTAGGAATTATACAGTTATGTGGAGATTATGATTCTGAATGCAAAATGGAGCCGGCACCACGGCTCAATAGGCTAATCCTCCACCAACACACTGGATTCTAGTCCTGCTCGGGGCGCCGGATTCTGTCCCGGTTGCTCCTCTTCCAGTCCAGCTCTCTGCTGTGGCCAGGGAGTGCAGTGGAGGATGGCCCAAGTGCTTGGGCCCTGCCCTGCACCCCACGGGAGACCAGGAAAAGCACCTGACTCCTGGCTTCGGATCAGCACGGTATGCCTGCCACAGCACGCCGGCCGCTGAGGTTATTGGAGATTGAACCAATGGCAAAGGAAGACCTTTCTCTCTGTCTCTCTCTCTCTCTCACTGTCCACTCTGCCTGTCAAAAAAACAAACAAACAAACAAAAAACAACTGAATGCAAAATGGATTACTGAATAAATCTAAAGGGAGATTTTTTAAAAAGTCATGAAACAAGTTAAAATGAAAATACACTACAGGTAATCTGATAAAATGCAGCAAAAGCTGTAATAAAAATTATGTTCATAGCAATATGTACCAACAAAAATGAAAAGAAAGATCTCCAATGAACAACTTAAGGTTGTTATCTGAAGTACCTAGAAAAGCAATAGCAAATAAAACCCAAAATTGATAGTACTAAATAACATGACCCAGAGCAGAATTAAATGAAACAGGGACTCAAAGAAGTTCAGTGAAGAATTTTTCTTAAAAGCGTGAACTAAATCAAAAACCTTTACCCAGGCTAACTAAGGAAGAAAAAGTGGAAGACTCAAATAAAATCAGAGATAAAAAAGACATTAAAACTAATATTATGCAAATATACAGATCACCAGAGACTAGTTTGAACAACTATTTACTAAAGAATTGGAGGATCTAGGGGCTGGAGCCATGGCACACTTGGTTAATCCTCCGCCTGCGGTGCCGGCATCCCATATGGGTGCCGGTTTCTAGTCCTGGTTGCTCCTCTTCCAGGCCAGCTCTCTGCTGTGGCCCGGGAAGGCAGTGGAGGATGGCCCAAGTGCTTGGGCACCTGTACCTGCATGGGAGACAAGGAAAAGTACCTGGCTCCTTGCTTAGGATCTGCATAGCTCCAGCCATAGCGGCCATTTTGGGGGGTGAATCTACGGAAGGAAGACCTTTCTTTCTGTCCCTCTCTCTCACTGTCTAACTCTACCTGTCAAATTAAAAAAAAAAAAA